TAATAATAGAGTTGGAAGGGACCTTGGAAGTCATCTGAACAATTCAGTAACTAAACTGAAACGTCTTAGTAACCAATGATGAAAGCCAGTTTGGCTTTCTGGATTTATGGGATTCAACATCTATTTACAAAGAGCATAAGCTTCCACTCATTTTTTATATTGTAAGTTGGTCATCTATGATTATTTAAGAGTATTTTTCCCTTTTTTCTCTCTTACACAAAATGCAGAAAATTTAGCCAATATATTAACAAGATTTGAAATTTACCAATCTATCAAGTTAAATATTGGTCAACTTGCTTAATATATAAAAGGAGATAATCTTCAGAAGATTTGACCTCTAGAAACTTATGGAAAGAACTTGGATTTGGATCTGCAATCCGAAGCAGATCATAAAGCATCATCATCATTATCATCATCATCATCATAAAGTTGGAGGGGACCTTGAAGGTCATCGAGTCCAACCCCCTGCTCAGGCAGGAAACCCTACACCATTTCGGACAAATGGCTGTCCAGTCTCTTCTTAAAAACCTCCAGTGTTGGAGCATTCACCGCTTCTGGAGGCAGGTTGTTCCACTGGTTAATTGTTCTAACTGTCAGGAAGTTTCTCCTTAGTTCTAGGTTGCTTCTCTCCTTGATCAGTTTCCACCTGTTGCTTCTTGTCCTGCCTTCAGGCGCCTTGGAAAATAGCTTGACTCCCTCTTCTTTGTGGCAGCCCCTGAGATATTGGAACATACTTCAGTCTTTTTTGCTTTTTTACTATATCCCTTTCCCCTCTTTTCAGAACAAGGTGGAAGGTCTGCGAGAAAACCTTTACCTTCTGCCAAGGGAGAACCTTAGAGCATTGCTGCGTCTTGTCCTTGAACTCACAGAAGATTTTACTGATTCTGCTTATACAAGCCATGAAACCCGGGGACATATCTTGGAGCTCTCCAAGCAAGCAAAGATGGAATTGGAGCAGTTGGTGTCAGCCTGGATAAATGCTGTAAGAAACACATTTTCCCCAGGAAACTGTTGATTTGAGAACTAATACTAAATCAGTTTATACGCTCTACATGATAACATGTATCGTCACAGTATTGCAAATTCTATGAGGTAATCACCTTTGCCATTTAAAACTGGATTTTACAAATGTTTACATAAATCAGAGCAAAATCCCAGTGTAATCCCTTTTATAAATATAACATTTCTCCTACCACTAGTAGTCAGATTCAGAAAAAGATATAACCCTAACCTTCTAGTATACTGCAATAACAGCCACTGCTCTCAGCTAACATGGGCAACAGGAAAATGTGGAGGACTCCAGAAGACTTTAACGATTTAAATTTTCTAAAAATGTAGGGAAGAAATTGAAATCACGTAGAACTGAAATACAGGTAAACCTTCAGATTAAAATTGAGAACAAAATTGACATTGCTAAACTACATGGCTGTAAAGCGTTATGTCACATGATCATTTCACTTAGCCTCAACAGTCCTTGCAGTCCCCGTTTGTCATTGTTAAGCAAGGATCACATGGGTTATTAAGCAGGCTGATACCCTATCACAGTGGTAGCGAGCCTATGGCACGCGTGCCAGAGGCGGCACTCAGAGCCCTCTCTGTGGGCACGTGCACCATGCCCCGGAGATGGCAACCGTCCCTCTTCAACCAGCTGCCTGCTAACTCGCAGAGGTCCCACATGGCCGGATGCATCCCAGCACCCATGCACTCGCTGGCCTCTGTGTTCAGGGGTTGATAGTATCAGGCAGCAGCCGCCCCGGCCCTTGCTTCACCTTGCCCTGCCTCGCCTTGCCTTGCCTTATCCCACAGGACGAGCCTGCCCACCGCCCCACCTGCCAGAGACTCCCTGGATCTCCCCCAACCTTGCCCGGCCCCCACAGATGTCCCTCCCCACGAGCAACATCGAGGTGATCATGCCAACCTTGGCCACACCCACCCAATCTGCCATGATCACCACAGCCACGCCCACTCAGTGGGCCACGCCCACCTGGCACCTGGCGATAAATAAGTGGTTTTGGGTTGCAGTTTGGGCACTCGGTCTCTAAAAGGTTCGGCATCACTGCCCTATCAGCTTCTCCCATCGACTTTGCTGGGAGAAGCCAGTAGGGAACATTAGAAATTGGGACCATATGACTGTGGCTCATGTGTGATGTTGTAATTGTGAGCAGGGCGCCAAGCACCTAGATCACAATCATATGACCATGAAAACACTGCAACAACTGAAACTCTAAAGACCTGTCATAAGTTCAGTGCCATCACTAGTTTGAATGGTCTCTGAACAATAGATTGCACCCTATCTGTGTATGTAACTTTGTTTAACAAATCTAAATATATATTTTTGGCTTTACAGCATACCATATATTAGAGCAGTATATCTTTCTATATGCCAACCTGTAAAGCTATTGGTTACAAATTACAATGGTTGGTTCAAGTTAAAGTATGCTTTGTTTGGTTTTGGTTAGTATGATGTATGAACACAACTATTGCAGCTTGGAAAACTATGTTTGCAAACACTGGATTAGTGTGATGTATTAATCCAGCTAAACTTCAAGCAACAGGTTTGTCATATCAACAATATACTTCACGACTCTTAACAAATTTTACTAAATAGGAACAAAATGGATTATTGTCATTAATTCTTCATATAGAAATTTATTGAGTTCTCATATTACACTAAACTGGTTTGATTTTAGCTTAGCACATTGTTCAGCAGATTGTGTAAATCAGTCAGTTGTTTCTTATTCAAGAAACTATGATTAAACCATGGTTCAGCATGATATTTGAATTAATATAGAATTCATGCATATCTATCTTAGGCATATCTTTTTAAAGCCACATTTCAAGATAAAATTATTCTTGGATTGAAATTATATTTGCAAAGCCATGCTAGGATTTTTCAATTTTAAGGTTTTATTTAAAAGAGTAAATGGCCTAAAGGCATGAATTTGTGGAGTTTAAAATTGGTTTGTTTGTTTTTAGCAAAATCAGAAGAAAAGAGAAATCACAGAAGACTTGGAAATATCCATACTAAAAATGTGCCAGTGCATGAATGAACTTCAAAGAGAGGTAAGTTAGAATCCAGTACAATCTGGAATATGCTTGGGAGTTATAATAAGTGTAAGTTCTTCAGAATGAATGATTATAATCTCAATAGAGATATAATGATATAACAGTATTTCCAACTGTCTGAATTTGCCATTTAACCAGCAGGTTGTTTTGAGTAGAAGCCTGCTAGACATAACTTTCATGCAGGAATACAAATTGTTTGGGATTGTTTCAGAATCCACCTTAAATGCTTTTTATTCACAACGAGTCACTTTTAATAATTCAGTTTATGAGCTACATAGATGCGAGTAACCTATTAGCTTTTGCTGTGGCCCTCAGAGTCCCCTCCAGCCTTGATTGCTAGAAACTGATGGAATAGTTTCCTGCCTAGACCGTGAGGAACAGAAAATTCTCAAAAAGGCTTATAACAATTCACAAGGAAAGAATATTTCCCAAAGATTACTCTCAAAATCCCTTTAATTCACAGGTGTGATAGAGCCATCAGCTACAATTCCTCCCCCCTCCCCCATTAATAAGTCCTTGGTCACCAAATAATGTTCATCCTTGACCCAGGAAGGAAGCTTGCCTAGAAGAGCACAGGCCTACAGAGAACTTACCTGACAGCCCTGTGCAAGCCAATTTAATCAAAGAAAGCAATGAGTACATGAAATCTTATTTTACAGATCCATATTACCATTAATATTTTTTTCATTTTTTCTTTTCGTTTTCTATTATTAGGATTCCACCATTACTAACTCCTCCCCTCACATACACACATTATACCAGGACAGATTCTTTGTTAGTCTAATCAGCATTTCAGGGCCAAGGAAATTATGGCCCCCAAGTGTGACAGACTGTAGTTTTCAGCAGCTCTGGCCAGCAGGACCCATGCTTAAGCATGTTGAAACTTCTACTTGAGCTGCCTCTGAATGCCACAATCCATCTATCAGAGATTTGGGGACAGAGAGATCTTCTCCAACAAGAGACATTTGTGAGTGGGTGTGTCAAGCAATGAAAACAGGGTTGCAATGGAAGCTCTGTCCCTTTTGTACATTTACCACGTTTTGACAAAAGTATTGGATCTTGCAGATGCCTTTGTTCCCAGCAAGTGTTAATTTTTTGCTGAAGACAAAATCTCTACATGCAAAGTATGTATTCTTCTACTGAGCAACAATCTCTTCCCAAGCTGTACTTAAGTGGGCACGTTTAAGAAAAGAACAAAAGCAGAGAAGCAGTTTAGCCTTACTGTCCTTAGAGTACAACAGTTGTGTTACCCACCCTTGTTGTTTTTTAGAATTAGAGAGAGTTCTAAGGCTGATAGTTACGTAGTTATGAGAATCCTCTGAATTTGTGACGAAGCCTCTTATAAGTTTAATTTTCTGCCCCTAGGTGTTATACAGTATGTTACCCTGTAGATTATTTAGCATACTTTTGATTTTATTCCAGATCACTTAGTTCCATCCTGGAAGAAGAACAAGGATAAAGTAAGGGTTATCCCTTGTTAATCCTCTTCTTTCTTCTGGCAGATTGGTTATTTGTAGCAGCAAAGAACATTGCAAGAATTATGAACAATAACATGAACAAATATTGCTGAAGAAGAACACTACAATTATGTGTCAAAATAATCAAAATTCTGCATTAGAAGTATTTTAAATAATTATGAGACTTATCTCAGTGAATTCTTATTCTGCTCACATTTTCTTTTTGTGCCTGGAACCTGTGCAATACACAGAAAACCTACCCCTAATGGACATATTATAAATATTCTTACTCTCTTCAGTGCAGGTCTCTTTAGATTTTTATAGTATCACCCACATTTTTTCATATATATCTTTGCGACCATGCGACAAGTTTAGATACTTGTGATACTGTTTAAATTAATACTGTTGTTTTCAAGAAGCAATTTTCAAGTCTGTATCCAAGACCTATCAGATAATATAATCATTTGCTGATATGTAGGACTAACAGGTCTAATAGGATGCCAGCAATCCAGAAGAGAAATGATAAATGGTTTAGTAAATTCAAAGTGGAAATACTTTGCTCCATAAACCCTATATTAGTTCATATTTTTTCTACTTTGAAGATCAACCATATGTGTTTGAGGTTTTTAATATACCTAGCCCTATCGGATTTTTTGTTATTGTTTAATGCAATGTGAGAACTAAGCAACAGTTAACTCTTGGTAAGCATCTTTATCCTCTTTTCTATGTAAATGAGTTTTTTCAGATTCATTATATTGACATAGTCTAGAATATTAGTTCAGAAAAATTAGTTGACCACAAAAAACTTTCAACAGATATGCCAAATTTCAAAAGGAAAATATCAGTGGCTCTTGTATAAATGTTCTGATTGCCTGGAAATAATGACTGCTTGCTCTAAGTTCCCATTGTTTTGTGTTAATTTTTCCAATGTCAAAGCTCCACAGTGCAGCAGTATCTGTTGCAGCAGACCTGATAAAGTATCATTCTGATCACCTTGTTTTGAAAGCGCTGAAAGCCTGCGGAGCAGAAGGAAATATAGAAGCTATTGCAGAGCATAGCTATAAGCTCTCTGAACAGAAAGACCAGTTGATCGAAGTAAGTTTGAATTATGTTGAAAAAGCCAAAATTCTGCTTATCTGGGATACATCATTGAAATTATTATTTTTTCTTTAATAGAGGTATTAGTAATTGCTTTCTACCATAAAGATTACTGCAATCGGCTGGGAGATTTTGAGTTGATCATGCCCCTTAAATAGGAATTCCCTTTGCGTGGTCATATATGTGCCCCCAGTCTTCATTCCCTTCAAAAATTATTGCTGAATTGAAATTTTAATGTGTCAGGAATTACTATTGGCATAGGGAATAATCATTTACATTTAATTTTTGTCCTGGCCCAACCCACTTCTTTGTCCTTACCCCACCATACCATTTAAAGACCAATTGCAACCTCTCCCCTTCACCCAGGTAAGTAAAAGGGAATATCCCTAACTCTTGCAAGAGAACGTATTCAAATAAAATCTTAGATTTTTGGAATTGAGGTGCTGTGTTAATGCTCCTGCTTCATTCTTCAGAACACCCTTATGGTGAAAGTTGTTTTGCAGCCTTAGGGTATCTGTTCTTAAAACCAACAGCTGATTGATTTCTAAACCCAAGTAGTTGTGCCAATCCTACCATATTTTTAATACCATTGATTTAAAAGGAGAAGTAAGCATGCTCATGGAACAAAATAATCATAACAATAACAGCAACAATAATTTATTAATCTGGTATGCCACCTGATTCTCAACAATCCTGGGTGGAAATAGAAATGGATTCCAGATGTCATCAAGTATCTTTTAAAAAATAACAATAAGTAGAATTTCAGGGAGTTTTCCTAGCTTTCACTGCTTCCTTTCAATCTTTGCCCCAGCCATATATCCCTTGGCTTATTTAGGATGATTGAAAGGTCAGGATTGGAGAAACAGGAGTTCAGAAGAATACTTAAGCATCCTCTAGCTTAGATGTCAGGCAGATGTCCAGCTTTCTACCAAGAGTAAGCTTGAATCTCTAGAATCATTCCTGTATATTCAAAGCTTTAATTTAGTATCCACCATATATGTTCCATAATAAGAGTACTTCCACAATTCATACATAGGTTTTGTGATTATGTTGGATTGTTTTGTTTCTCTTTTTAGATATGCCATCTATTGAGACATGTCTCTGGAACAGAGCCACTTGAAATTACTTGTCTCCATGCAGAAGATACTTTTCATGTGACTGGGCCTCAGGTATTTATAATTTTACATGACTATTTTCTCCAATTGAATTTTCCAATTCTGTTTCTAATTCTTTAGCTTCAGGTGCTGGAAATTGCAACTGAAAACCTTGTCCATAACATGTACTATTCTCACATGGAAATATATCAATATTCCATCAATATTTGAAAATAGATCAGAATTTCATAATGGAAAAAGTATATTAAGCTTGGAATAATAGTGTTAAAGTGTCTTTTAACTATTAAGTTCAACATACATACAGACTTCCTAAATACGTAGGTAGCAAAACAAAAAGAAAAAAAATCTCTAAAGAGGGTTCTGGATAAGGAATCATGTTTATAATGATTATGTTATAATAATCATGTTATAATAATCTTGGCTGGCATGATTTATGAGGCTGGATTCTCATTAACTGTTCCTGACAGTATAATCAATAAAGTGCTTCTTTAGAGCCTTTTCACTCTGTTGGAAGTCCTTCTTCCCTACATCAGAAGAATAAGTTAATAATCCTTCTCAAAATCTTCTTGAAAGTAAGATTTCTTATAATACAGTTATATGCTCTCAGCATACTTAGTTTAAAACAGCCACTCATTCAATACAATATATAGCATAGTATTCCTTATGAAAGTCCCCTGGTTTTTTTGGTAAAGCTTTGTTAGCAAATGCTATCCAGCCCTTTTAATACAAATGAGAGACAGCTTATCTTTTGTCCTGTGGAGATGGATGCTGATACACAATTGTATGTGTATGACAAAGCCTGTTTTGTTTCCTTCAGATAATTTCTGCTGCTGAAACCCTGACATTGCATCCTTCCAGTAAAATTGCAAAAGAAAATCTGGATGTATTTTGTGAGGCTTGGGAATCTCAGCTGAATGACATGTCCCTGCTCTTAAGAGAAATCAGTGATGTGTTTGAAGGAAGACGAGGTGAGCAGGTTGTTCCTAAGTACCGACAACCTACTGTCCTTAAATACAAACTTCCAGCTTACAGTGCACGCATATTCTGAGTATTCTCTCTATGAGATGTGATGATCTACGTTCTTCCTAAAGCCAACAAACTACAACTTGAAGCCACTTAACACTTTTAGCTCCTCTGTAGGTGTTTTGGGGGTTGACGACACTAAAATATATTACCTATGGAGGGAAAACCTACAAACTGCCAAAACCCATCGTAACATGGCAGATCCTTGGAATGTGTACACCCTATGTTCACAGTTCATAGTTATCAAGTTAGCAAATACTAGAGTACTGTGATGCAGCTTAAACTCAGGAGCACTTCTTACGCATTTAGATAATAATTCAAACAATCTTGTCTCCTATTTTTCAAGAAGATAAAGAATACCATGCTGAGACTGAACCTTTTATGGTTTTAATTTCAGTCGAACCCTGTGAGACTAGGAAGCACAGTCTCACCTAATTAAAAGCGTATTTACTCCTTTTAGTTAAATGATTTTCAACCTTTGTCTCATCTTTTCTTCTTTTATATGATAATAGAAAAATCTCTGCTTATCAGACCTAAAGTTCTTCCCCAATATCTAAGATCATGTGGGTGCACTTTTGATAGGTCTATATAAATTGGGTTTGTGCTACATGCTGCATTCAGTTGTCTCTTTTATTTATATATTACAGAAAAGGGTGCTAAGCAGTGTTTCTAAAGAGCTCTCTTAAGAACCACAGTACTGCAGTTGAAAGGCACCATTTTAAAGGAATAAAGTTCTTTTAAAAGAATTTTAAAGAAATAGAGTTTATTGTACAATGAGGTTATTGTATAAATCAGCAATACATTTTCAAGTATTCAAGGAAATGATTCATAATTCAAAGCACTTGAATTTTTTTTTTGGGATGGGGTGATGGAATCATAAGTTCTTTTTTCAGTCTGACCTGAACTGTCTAGTGTTCTTGCAAAAGAAAGAAATCCTTATTTTTTGTGCTCTCTGCTGACTACACAATGTAGTGAATTTAGCTATTTGATTTTTAAATTGCTATCATTTCTGCCTGGATGGGATCTTTCTGATGACTGCCCACACCTTTTGGCCTATATTCTGTGGTAAGTCACCTGGTATTTGTGTAGCATTTAGAAAAATACAAAGAGCAAATCTATCTCTCAAAATTCTTGCCAGAGGCACTGTAGTATTATTTGTTGAGAGATTTTTCATTCCTCAGCGTAATTTAATTTTCTTCAGAAGGGTTTTCAGTTTTACAGAAAAAAAATTCTGCCATTCTTCTGCCATTGATGTTTGATGAATTGATTCTTTTGGGTACTTTTTTGAATATAATAACTCAGGACAAAATCATGTACAGTATCAGACTTGACATTAGAGAAAAATCAGGCAAGTGACAGTAGCTTTTAACTTATAAAGCCATTGCAGAATGCCAAAGGAGACAGTTATACATATCTGATTATGCCCCTTGCTTTCTAGCTGCATACTGCTTTTAATGGGGTAAGACTTATTATACCTTATGTGCTGATTTATCCTCATTTTATCCTCATATTGAAAGCAAAAATTAGATACCTCTTACAAAAATGAGGCTTCTGTATTTCTTTTGTGGGACGTAGGTATACAGTGCTAAGACCCAGATAATGTTTATAATGCAGTAAAGATACTTAGGAAAATGTCATACAGCAGGGTCCACAACCCCTGGGCTGCAGACAGGCAGGAACTGGGCCACACAAGTGAGCGAAGCACCATCTGCGCATGCACGGGATTCAGGCAGCGTGCGAAACCACACACCCTGGTCCATGAAAAAATGCCCTCCATGGAACTGGTCCCTGGCACCCAAAGGTTTGTGGGCCGCTGTCATACAATATTATGTTTCCGTCTCACAAAATTATTTGCTGTGTCACGTTTTCCTATGATTTGCTAACTACCTAATGTGTGTAATCTCTCAACACAATCCTTAATTTAGTTTTGAAGAATATTTTTATATTCTGGCTGTGTTTAAATATCAGGCTTGTTTAATTTTAATTTCCAAACTGCTACACCATTAGCCATTGATTATAGACCACAGTAAACCAGTGGGTTCATGCAATAAAATAAATCAAAAGACTTAGTGTGATTTAGACTCGGTGTCTAAATATGCGGGGAGAGGATAAAACCATGCACCTGACCTTTTCCTGGCATGAGATCTGTAGGGGACCCGTAGGAGACCTGTATTTGTGAATGCTTGAACATGGATATAATTATAACACAAGGACAGCTATCAATGAGATACGAGCCTATTCCTCTCTTTATACTGATATTTTCACACATTTAGGCAACTGCCTGAATAGAACTAGAATGACTCAAAGCGTATGAATGGCACTTCAAAAGCATAGAGGCAGCCAAGAGCAGCAGCTGCATCAGAATTAGATGTATGTTGAATAATATAAATTGAATTTGAATTATAAATTCCTGATGTACCGTAGATCATTTTAATTATTTATAATATAAAGTTTGTATAAATTAAATAATGTAAACGTCGAAGTTACCTTGGATGTTATGCCACCCTGGATATATAGACATATAGACAGTCATATTTAAAAAGACTTCCTCATAGGTATATTAGGAGAAAAGGATTCATGTGATCTTAAGAACTATGTAAAACTTCAGCAAGTGCAGTTTCTCTGCTCTATACAGTTGACATCAACCAAAAGCCTTCCTTTTCTGCAGGAAGATACAGGAAACATAAGTGGCTGAACAGGGGTTTTTGGAATGCCTGGTATACTGATTAATTCTGTTGGAATCATTGGCCAAGTAGAGGAGGGAGTAAAGAGCTGGTCTAGCTTGGAATCACTCTGTAGGAGGAAGCAGCAGAGGCCAAACTATTGAAGCCTTCATCTGCCTATTCCCAAGAGAATGCACTGAATCTGGTGAGATCAGTGTCAGGTGCAAGGAACCAGAATAACTCCCTGAATAGGCCAAAGTAGTTTCTTTATTGTTGTTTATGTTTATTCGTGTCAGAAGCTTCACAATTAAAATATATGACATAACATTTAAAATATAAAGTACAAGATTAAAATATATACAAATTAAACAGATCTTGCCCAGAAACTAGCAACATTAATTGTGTTATGTCGCACTGCCGGGAGGTCTTCAAGTGTACACTTAGCAGGACACAAAAGGCAGATATACAATATGTGTTGTTGTCTGCAGATCACCACATCTGCAAAGAGCAAAAGCCACCGGAGAGCCCCATTTGTTCATAGTGTCTGGATCTTGTACCCATGCACAGTCTATTCAATGAGTTCCATACTTCCCAGCTTTCGTTAGGCCCAGATGCCAGCTCTCTGTTGCTTCTATCCAGTGTTGGTTCTTTGTAGCTTGCCATAGGCCTACTCTATAACTGTCATGTCAAAGGACATGGAAGGATCCTTCCCAAAGAATGTGTGCTGTTAACACATTCAGGTGTCCCCTGGACAACAGCTTATAACTGGTTAATCCTTTCAATCCAGAAGCATCCAAAGCGTAGTGAGGTGCTCATTCACCTGTTTCTTTATTGTTAATCATATATTTATAACAATGTTGCGAAACTCACTGCATACCCTTGAGAAAGGCTTTAATTGTCTAGCCTCTGCCATTTCCTCCCATGGACCAACTTCAAGCTAGACCGCCTCTTTACTCCCTTGTCTATGCTAGCTGATGATTCCATCACATCAGTCCAACTTAGTTAAAAGGGAATTTTTAAAGCGAGAGAATGTACTTACAATGATGCATTTTAAGTCCTTGACATCTCAGGGGTGTTTAAGTTTCCTATTTAAATTAATGGGACAGCATGCTTAATTAGCTGGTATCTTGGCAGGCAATTAGGTTATATTTTTATTACTAAAAACATTATTTTCCTAGATATTTTTTAAATTTCAGTGCCATAGTAGTTTATTCTGCCTTTTTCTAGAGAAAGAAAATGAGACTGCTTTCTTGATAATAGGAGGTATATCTTTAGTGTTTTGATTAAGAGATGCAGTTAGCACATCAGGATGATAGTTGAGGCTATGCCCAAGCTATCCCACTCCACTTAACTCCTTAATTTACACATGTTATATTTTTATGGTAATGTCATTTTTAAATTGCCAATTTAAAATATTGAGCTTGGTATTGGCATGTGATAAATAAGTACGTATGTTTTAATGTTGGTGAGGCAATAGCCCTCTGCTTTTGATGATGGTTAAAGACTAAAGAGCAACCAAATGTGCTGGACACTTTCTAATAAACCAGTTGCAGTTTTACAATGAATCATTTTGGCTCCATTTTGGTTTGTTTTCTTCACGGGAAAATACAGAAATGTAATGGCTTTAATTCTAAATTTCTTCTACAGCTCACCCTGGCCTTCTATAATGTTCTTCATCTCAATCTTACCTATGTCGCCTTTCTTCCTTTCCTTTTTGCCCATATATTAAATTGCTTCATCCCATCTTCAGGTGGTTTTAATCACTCATTGATTAGCAGAAAGCAGGAATGAATTAAGATGGTATGAAATAGCTGCAACTACTTTTACATATTTTCTACTGAATGACTTGGGGTTTAGTATTAATTGAAAAAGGACATTGACAAGTTCAAGATGGTCAAGATTTTTTGTTTTTTGTTTTCCTGTTATAAAACATGAGATTTAAAAACGTGTTCTTCTGGCATTCCAAATACTTTATTTGTGGAGGAGTAGAAGACAGAATGGCTGGACCAAGCAGAAATCTATTTCTTGTTATCATGGAAACAGTGTGTGGCCTCCTTTCGAGGTAATAATTAGGAAAAAGGAAGATGGCGTACACTGCCTTGTCTTCCATCACATGTGAAACATAATGCATTTCCCCAGCTTTTTATGTTTCAGTAGAACAGTTGTATTTAAATATTTGATAGCAAGCCTTTTTCTATCTAATGTAAACAGTTCATATAGCTAACCTTCATATGCACTAATAAAAACCATTATTTGATTTGCTTGTGGAAATGCAAATTTTGAATTAATTTGGGACATTCAGTTGTTACATCTGTTTGGTGATGATACATAAATCAGATATAATTACGGTATATCAGCCTTGTAAATAAACCAACAAGCTATTAGACTTCAAGAAAAAAAAAGTTTGCTCAGACCTTGGTCATCTCATTTCCCTGCTGTCCATGAATAGGGAGAGGCTTTCTACCTCTGCTCTCAGATAGCATATAGCTATGTTAGTTTTCTATTAGGGGATGAGTAAATGTGTGTGTGTCTGTATGTAAACAAAAATTCCTTTCTCACCCGCATGGGTAATGTAGGTCTTCCTCACTCTTGGGTGCCCTCTGCAGTTTGAGAATTCTGCGCATTATCTTAGCTATCCTTAGCACTGCACTCTGGACAAAGAGCTCTGATGTTGTTCCCGGGATCTGTTGGAGTCACTTTCCTAGCTTAGAAGACACAGCTTCAACCATTCCTACCACTACTGGGACCAATTTGGCTTTTTCTTTCCACATCCTCTCTAGTTCCTCCTGATACTTTTCCAGCTTCTCATACTCGTTCCTGATGTTGCTGTCACTTGGCACCACTATACATATGACATCAATCTCAACATGTATGTATAGATAAATGTGTGTGTGTATATATATACTGTATGTATATATATATATATATATATATATATATATATATATATATATATATACATACATACATACATACACACACACACACACACACACATATACTGTATTTGTGTTTGTGTATATGTATGAATAATATATACATACCGTGTGTATACTGTATATATAAAACATGTTGAGATACATGTCATATGTGTGTGTGTGTGTGTTTGAGATTGGAATGTTGGTTGCTGAGTGATGCATTCATTAAGTCAACACATGATTGGACCCAATTCTATTACCATTTTACCACGGTCATTAAGTAAAATCAGTGAAGCAAGACAATCTGGTTTTCATAATTGACTTGGCTTGTCAGAAGCCATCTGGGAAGGTTGCAAATTGTGATACTGTGATGGCAAGACATTGCAATTTTAAATGCAAGTTGGTTGCCAAGCCCCCACCCCATCTGCAAGTTGGTGAGTAGAAGTGTCAATCTTTGCATTTCTATGATGACCAAAGAAAAATGGGATTTATTTCTTGACAAACAGAAACCAAGTGGGTGGATGGTCTGATCTTAAATGTCTCTGTATGTCTAATCACTTATGATTATCTAATGAATATTTAAATATCAGACCAAACTATTTCAAATTTAAATAGCAAGCTCAGATACCACATTTGGATGCCATAAGAATTCTCCAAATAATATGACCTTAAGTATTGATAGTTAACAAGGAGCTCTACCATATACTAACAGTTATGGAACTTACCTATCTCTCTATGGTTAGATGTAAGTTTTGAATGAATGAATCACACTTTTTTCAGGCAACTCAGAATCTATTGATGCTTTGATATCAATTTGAAAACTGTTTTGCATACATTATGATTTGGTGTGTCTGAATTGAAAACCATATTTGCAAATGGAATTCAATCTAGAAAATGATATACGAGAGAAATGAGAGTGATGAAAGATGGGAAATGGGAGTCAGATAAAGATTGGTGTGGCTTCTCAAACTGAAAGTTCAAATATTTGTTTTAATCCTGAACACTGGTTGGAATAAACTATGCTTATGTCTGAATTGACCTGAATTGCCTTGTAGAAAATTTGAAAAGTGATTTTGAAAATTTGAAAGGTGATTTTGAAATGTTGACTGGTGTGCTGTCTAAATTTACCTGAATTGCATCACAGAGAATTGGAAAAATAATTCTTATGAAAAAAATAATTGATATCATCTGATCAAAATTGAGCACTTTAAATTCCCATTAATTTCTACAAAACAAGTCTGAAATATTGGACAGCAGAGAGACTTACCTTAAGACTCCACTTGACTATGAAATACTATAGCTGATTTTAGTCCATCCTTCAGTATTTTAAAATGAAAGGTAATTCATGCAGTCTGTCTTGAGCCATTTAGAGGAAGATAAATGTAATAAAACAAAAACTTTAAAAAGCATTAAGTACATATTGGTGTTGATTTCAATGGAAGAAATATCAAGGTGCTACTGAAAATCAAATGGTTCCTTATACCATTACAAAATCTGAACTTTATTCCAGGGATTATTTGATTCCCATCATGGCTATACTAGGCCTTGCACATAGGCTTCCCCCACACCAAATTAGCTGTTCTTCTTGGGCATTCAGAAAGATAAAGGAAATTTTTAGTAATGTTATCAACTAAATGGAAAGATTTCTGGTGAATCTGTCAGTGGCCTCCCATAAGCGCAAATATAGGCAGTAGCAGAATTTCCTTTTTACAATGCAATGCATGGCAAAATACAAAACCTGTCTGATCTATGAAGAGGAACCAATAAGGGTAGGTATATTTTTATATGATGTTTTTTTCCAAAACCTCTAGAGAGGGTTTAAGAAGTACAGTACATAATCAATTTTGGTGTATTGTTTTTAGGGGAGAAGCGTGCATACTTGTCACTACCCAAACCAGGGGTAAGTTCATTTTTGTGGGGCTGGTGATTTCTTTATACTTTTCATCAGTTAATTGTTCACTCCACATAGTCATGTTTGTTTAACAAGCTACCCTGGCCTGGTTCATATGTAACACTGTAAGGCGGTTTATATTTCACACTAAGTTAAAAGGTAAATGAATCATGTAACGACATAGCATTGTAGGTGATGTAAAGTTGTCAGAGGCGAATCTTTCTAGAACACTAATATTAAGGCTGAATTCTGCACACATCACTGAGTTTCTGAATGTTGCTGCAATAGCTTCTCTTTTCCATATTAAGAGTTTGTATAAGTGTGCTAAGGGAAATGTCTGAATTCTGTATTTATGATTGAAAATGGAAGGAGACAAGATGACCAATGTTGAACATTCACACTATAGTTGCCATCCAGTATTTTATTTCCAATCTATTTCATCCCTCAAAATTTCTTCCATTAAAATATTATTTATTGTAATGTCCACTCTCTGCAACAGTGGTAAATAATATATGATCTATTTTTCATATATGTGATAATCCTTCAAAACTTTAAAGATACATCCATCTTACTGCCTAATGGGTATTGTAATTATTATAAAATATCACATACGTAGATGTTTCATCAAAATTAAAAAAAAAATCTTTTTCCAATTACTTTCCATGGTAGCTTTTGATTCAAAAAATGTTTAGCTTTGTACATTTTTGTACTGAGATTTCAGCTCTCTTGTTAGAAAATGCCTGGATCATTTGAAATCTGTTTTTAGTAAGTTAGGTTTTATTAGTTATAAATAAGGCTGTATAAACTCCAAAATGTTTTGGAAAAAGTGGACCTGCATGAGCACAGTGTTTTTTCTATTGAAATGACTTTGAAAGTATCTAGATCAGTGTTGTCCAGCCTTGGGAACTTTAAAAAGTGTGTATTTCAACTCCCAGAATTCTCCAGCCAGCCATTTCCAAGGTTGGAATATACTGACCTAGATCTTTTTTTCAGTCTTGTTTGCCAACTTGAAACTTGAAAAAGGCTAGAAACAATGCAGATAAGGTTATTTTAAATTATGTGGCTTGATCTTCTAACACACTTTAATCTACTCTTGTTGTTTTCTCCTACTCATATCAATGGCAGCACACCCATTTGTGTGGAATTCATCCATTATATGTGGAAAGTATCAGTGTCCATTTACCGTTTCCTAGGGCTTTCCCATCATAAGGACATTCTGAACACAAATCTGTACAACTGTAGCGGCATACCTAAAGAGTATTGCAGTTTTGTTCCTAACACCTTTAAAAATTGTACTGTATCTTGTAATAGGATACATTTAAAATAACCTCTCCTGAGGTTTTGGAAGATATTACCGCACTGAGCTATATGATTGATGTTATATAAGGCTGTTTCATATATTTTGAAGTTTTAACACAGGCAACGGCTATTTCATATAATTACAATAGGAGTAATGTAACTCTGTTTATATAATTTTTAAATAGAAATAAGTTCATATAAGCAGAACAGTTGCTTTATTCTAATAATGTGCTCAGTTGTCTGGAATCTAGAACCAGAATATTTATTTCAAAATCAATCCTCTTAGAAATAATTCTGTTTTCTCCAGCATAATACTCTTGATTCCAGCTCCTAGTAAATATGTTTAATTTAGATAGATTTATAAAAATAAAATAAAATAAAATTCTCTTCTTGAAAAATATTTTTTACAGAAGCATAATGCAAATTTAAAAGCCTTAAAGCCAGTCAGACTTGATAATGAGGTAAGATATTTCTTTTATTCATTAGCACCAATTTATTCTAGTAATTAGTCTGAGTTACATAATGAACAAAAATGATACACGTTCTCTTTTCATTTGCAGGAACAAACAAAACTTGGAAAATTAGGTTTAGAACTTCATAAACTAATAACTCGGGTTGACTCTGAAATGGAGAAATGGGAAGACCCAGAAAATGAGATTATAAGATATGGACAAGGTCTATCCAGTATGGCTTATTCCATGTATTTATTTACAAGGTAAAAACAAAAGTGGCAGAAGGGGAAGCATTAAAAATTAAAAATGAGAATAGTTTGTAGAAATGGCCTTGAACCTTTTCCTCCCCATATCAAATCTAGACCATATTATTTAGTAGAATTTCTCTGAATTATAGCCAAATCTAGACACTACTCAAACTTGTAGTGTAAATCCAAAAATGGGGACTGTTTCATTCTCTCCTCTCCCCTCTCTCTCCCTCTCCGTATATATGTGCATATGCATAGTTTGCCTGCGTACTCATGCACAGAACGAGTGGATAACTTACATAACAACATTATATTTCAGATGTGTTGGCTTTACTTCATGGGGAGGGGATTACAAAAACGTCATGATGTTTCAAAATTTTGGAAATTCTACATAAGGTTATAAAAAATGGATTATCTGTTCATCCCATATCTCATCACTTCTGTATAAGAAAATCCATAAAACATCAACTTTTTACTCTTGGTATCAGCAAAATGTCTATCAAGGATTGCTAGAAAATTGCAAAATCATCATCCTTATTCTAATTTTGATCAAATAAACCAACTTTATATCCCTTTCTTTTACTTTTAACAGCCTTAATCTTTAATTCCATCAAATATTGTCATAGGATTTGATTTCTTCTTTATCCCATCACACAGATTTCTTCAAGGCTTTAATAAGTATCTTACCTTATTTAACAAGTATCTTTTCTTATCCAGTAAGAAAACATTTTCCAGGTCATTCTTCTGTTTATTAGTCATATTTCCCTTTTTAAATTTTAAAACTTCAGCCAGTTTCTTTTGTATATCCAATTAAATATCTTTTGTATATCCAGTTATATCTCAATAGAATCATTTCATTTCTTTTCTGCTCCTCTACTTACTCAGTTTTCCAAAATCATGGTGACATAGCATGTAAATTATTTGTAGATTGTTGTGAAATTTTATTCTTTTTCTTTCCCTTTTAGAGGGGAAGGACTACTGAAAATTACCCAAGACTTATTCCACCAGGCAGAGGTAACAAAGCAATGAAAAGATAATTTATAACCCTACTTTGCTGTCAGAAAAAGTATATTTTTGAGTGTATGCTTTCAGCCCCATAGTTGATTAATCAAAAACAGCTTGTTATTTTTTTTTCTGTAAATATTCTCTCTTATCAGTCAATTGAAATAAAAGAAATTCTAATTATTTCATGCCTCCACCTGATTACATTGTACAGGTATTTGGTTTTGTGGGGAAGGGGTGGACATATTGCTGAATTTTTTCAGTTTTCTACCACTGATTTATTCTTGACTGTATTCTTGTTTGTAAACTAAGGTTATAGCTGGGGACTATATTTTGCATATGTGAGTGCAGTGATTGCTACCTCTAATACTGTAGAGCTATGAATTTCTTGAACCTGAACTATCTAACCTAACATAAAAATCAACAGATATGTTTATGCAAACTGTATGAATCAATCCAGTTCATCAACAGCCACCTTTTCCTTTTCTTGCTTGGGAATGGAAAAAAGAAGGGAGTTTTGTCAAGTACATTTATTCTGAGCTGAATTTGACTAATCAGTTTACAAATTGGGCATACACCCATTTGAAGAATAGAGGGTTTTTTTCCTTAGTGATTTTGCATTTAACTCTCTATCCTTTTCTCCCTTAGGCCTTTGCTACAGAAGGATTAAAACTTACTTCAGCTCTCCATATATTTTCCAGTCAGGTATGGTACAGCTTCTGAATCTTAAAGACAGTTACTTTTTAAAATGTGTAGACCTTGTACAGGTAATCTACGACTTACAACAGTACATTTAATGACAATTCAAAGTTACAACGGCACTGAAAAAAGTGACTTGTGACCGTTGCCCCATCCCCATGGTCACAAGATTTGCATTCAGATGTCATGGTTCCAATTGATGAAACCCATCAAAAGAACTTTGAGGCAAAATTCTTCCTTAAAGAACAATTTATTCGGGAAACAACGTATCAGCACTACATAGTTGAACCCCAAAACTAAATTCCCTTCCCCCAGATACCAAGTAACGAAGTGCAATTCCCACCCCCAATAAACTGTCATAAACCACATTCCCCAATTAGCTTAAAGCGCGGGCTTTGTCCTCAGCTCCTCAGCCCGCCAAAACGTTATCAGCTTGTCCTTGGGTTCCCACAGCAGCATTATTATGGCTAGCTGAGCTTTCATCCCAACACCACCCCCACCCCCGCTGCACCTATTTCTAAAAGTAAGAAAAAGCATGTTAAAGGAGAAGAGAAAATGGCTGCATTTTCATCAGTTGTCAAGAGCGGGAACATCCAATGTTAGCAGCGTTGACATCAGATGCTTGACAACTGGGTCATGATTTATAATGGTGGCAGTGTCTCGGGGTCATGTGATCACCTTTTGTGATCTTCTGGTAAACAAAGTCAATGGGGAAGCCAGATTCACTTAACAACCGTGTTATTAATTTAACAATTGCAGTGATTTACTTAACAAATGTGGCAAGAAAAGTCATAAAATGGGCCAAAAGTCACTTAACAATTTTTTCTCTTAGCAACATAAATTCTGGGCTTAGTTGTGGTCGTGAGTCAAGGACTAACCTATACCTTAATACAGTAACAGCTATCTGTGCTGTTCATTTTTTTCCATAATTGTTTTTATTATACTTTATATAGTTCATGGTTTATGTTTCATGTTTTTGATTGACTGTTGTCACTAGAGTGGTGGGGGTTTATTGGGTATTGTATTTGTTTATTTCTTTAAGCCACCCTGAGTCAGTGTGAGTTGGCAGCCACATCAATTTTATTAATAAAGTAAATTAAAAAATAAATTACGTTTAGCATGCCTAAGTAACATCTGTTTCAGCTGGAAGATGATGACAAGCCACTGCTTCTGCAGGAGATTGAGAGGATGGTCTCTGCATGTCAGCAGCTTCAGGTCACAGCTAAAGCTCCTGTGCAGGGCAAAACTGCAACTCATCTAAAGGTAAGCTATTTATTATTTTTTTAAAAAGTCATTCTCTATAAACTTTGTTTTCCTACCTTACTTTGTAGATAATGAAATATTTTAATTGTGTGTTAAGTCTTGAACAGAATACATGGATGATATGTGACAGTGCTCAGTTGTTAAATTAAGAAGACCTTGAGTTAGTTGGAATGGATGAGAGGCCAGTTTGCAGTTTTGTGAGGCCTGAAGCACAGATTAAAATATCAGCTAACCAGGCAACTCATTAGAAACTAATTTAGTTCATCATAGTGTCCTATTTGGGCTACAGATACTTTTGGATTCACAGGCAATGGGTTATCAATGCTTTATTCCATAACAAAACAGTAGAATAAAAAAGTACACAGAGTATAATATTTACATCTCAGAGAAGCAATAGGAGTACTAGCACTACACATACTTGATAGGTTTGTAGGATGTGTAATTTGACATATCTGTAATACCCCAATATCACGCCTTCTTCTGCCTTATGGATCTATCTACCTGTTTAGTATTTGGCATTTGGCTTCTTCATTCTCATGAGATACTTACATAGATGATTCCTATTATTGTAATCCTCTACCTCCAAGGCATGTATGTTATGTCCCCCTATCTGCAATTCAGATTTTCTATGCCAAGCACATAGTTCAAGTTATTTCTGGTCCTACAACATCTGGGCCTATATATAGATCAGGTACATTAAGTTTTCTTCACTTGTCTTGCAGGTTACCAAATTCATTGCGGCAACAGGATAAAACTACTCATTGTCATGATCACATACACTTTAGGCGTTTATACAAAAGATCTTACAATGGAATTCTCTTGAGTCTGCAAATAGGAATGGCAGTTTGCAAAATACTGCAGAATTGGGAAGTCTGTACATACCATCAGCAAATGGCGTAACACCCATACATTTGAGACAAATCCTTCCATTCCACTTTCAGAGGGACATATGCAAAACATCTTCTCAGTTTTGTTCTATATCAACACAAAAATCTCCCTCCACTACAATGATTTCAGGCTATATCGCCAGACACTTTCTCCCCCACTAGATATACAGTATGCATGCCCAGATACGGAGCTTATTTCTAAGTTCTCTGTTTGGATGTAAAGCATCTGTTGGCCTTGCCAGACTAACCAGATAGGCATCACAACCAGATAAGCTAATTCCACTTTATTGTAAGGCTGTATTAACATAGTCTTGCAAGTCTGAAAGTACAATTCTCATTTGTCTCCTTTACACCCCAAAAAGTTAAGGAGTGTCTTTTCTGATCCTCTTGCTCCTACCCACTGTTGAGCTGCAGGCTGTGCTGTCCTTTATTTGTCCATTCCCTTGTCAGCATCACTTTGCCAGTCTCCCAAGGTCTTTCTCACATGCGATTACATCATCACATGAATTTGTAAGGGTACAGTAAGCCTTCAAAAGCAATCTTCATGGCCAGACCGTTAAAGATTATATTGGATAATTCTGTGACAATTCAGTACAAACAAAACAAGTCTTCTCTTCTTTGCTTACTCTGTGATTTGGCATTGGGTTATCTACCTTTTCTTCATTCTGGCAATTCATTAACTTAGAACACTACTGACTCTGCCTTTTTATAAAAAGGGTATTAAATTACTGTTTTTGTACTTTACCTAAAATACTATTTGGTGCAATACATCTATAGCATTGGCTATTTCAGTTATATTACTAAATTCCTTCCACAGGGGGCAGTATATTTCTTGCTTCACAGCTATAATTACATTTGTTTTCTCAACATGAATTGTGAAATTATTTTTGCTTGAATGCACTGACTTTAGGTGGATACCTGTGTTCAGAAAGCAAAGTATATTCTGGATATACTTTCCCAAGTTCTGCCACTTAGCTTCAGATTACTTAGAAAGGTGAGTTGATAATATGTCCAAATATGGCAAAATAAACCATTTCTGTGTTGAGTTCCACTTCTGTTTTTATTCATGGCTGCTTGTTTTGCAGCAGAAAGCAGGAAATGGATATCTAATGGCCCACTGTTCTTGGAATGGCCAGCATGCAGCGTCAAGAGAAAACAGTGGCCTGGCTGGGAGGACTAACACTTTTGGAATCAAATCCTTGGAACAACATGTAGCAAGCCTCACTGTTTTGGAGAACAAATGAATTGAAGATGGGCATATTTCTATGTTGGATTTGTACTTTAAGTCTCTCCTAATTGCTTTCTTTTGAGAAAGGTAAAACCGGGTTAGAAAAAGCTGATGTAGTCTTTTCACATCTAATAGATGTCATGGTACTTAGCAATTAGCAAAAGGAACAGTCAGATTTAATGGCTGCATATTTTTGTATGGTGAATAACTTTTGGTTCACTATTAATACCGCTATTTTTGTAATCAAGTACATTATGAATGTCTTATTTTTCAAACCCCAAAGATGCTGCTTTGAATGTTCATGCAGATGATCTGGATAATATCAGATATGCTACATGGAAAACTACTGGTGGTGGTTGTTGCTGCTGCTCTTTTGTTTAATAGCCGTCACTAATGTGAGTCTTGACCCTCGCCAATATCATCTGCTGAGGAAATCTGTTTTGAAAAAAGCTTAACTAGCTGCCTCTTAAAGTGATTTGCCAAGAAATTCTGTTGCCATAGATAACTACATTTGTCTCCTGGTGGGCAAGGAAGGGGAGGAACAGAACTAGGATAGAGACGGTCAAAAAAAGTCCACTTTGCTGCTACTGGATACATAAGTTACAATAAAGCTTTAATGATGATAATTTTATTTTCATTTAAAAACAGTTTCAGCAATATTTAAAATTAAAACTAAAGATCAGTAACAGCATTAATAAAATCAGCTATTTTAAAAGCTCCCTTTTATCTATATTTTTATGTACAATCTTTATAGCACTCTCTAAAGAATTTTTTTCAGAAATAGTTCTTCTAAAACCACATGTAGTATGACCTAATTCCCTAATAAATGTGATTATATTTACAGCCTTAAATATAAAGCTCGAGCTTTCATTTTAGCATGATACAGGAAAGCTTAAGACTGATCGTTCAAATAAGTTGCAGCTATTAAAAATACTTACTTCAAAGAGGGCATTATCTTTTTTGCAAGTTCTTTTCCAAGCTTGTTTGAGATCTGTATATATCTTAATGGTCCTATGTTTCAGATTGTAATGTTATCATTGAATAACTCCTTGCCAGTCTTAAATACTGTAAACTGAGTATGTTTGAAAATTATATAGCGAAGGTAAATTACTCCCATGTCCTTTACATTTTGCTAAGAGGACAACTTGAAGTCACAAGCTAATATATGATTCTCAATCATATTTGACTATATCATGCAATGTAGAGGTTGGGAGGCAAAAAAAAAGAAAATAAGCACTTCTAACCTTCTTACCTCTTTTTCTTCTGTAACCCCAGTCCCATCTTCCACTTCTGTGGCATTTATATTAATGTTGCAATTGTTAAACATATTTTTAACATTTGGTCCCATAAATCCTTGAACCTTCACTCCGCAAACCTTAAGGCAGTGTTTCTCAACCTTGACAATTTTAAGGCATGTGGACTTCAACTCCCAGAATTCCACAGCCAGCATTGCTGGCTGTGGAATTCTGGGAGTTGAAGTCCACATGCCTTAAAATTGTCAAGGTTGAGAAACATTGCCTTAAGGCAACACAAGCTAAGGACTGGTGTATCATCTAGTTAATTTATAGTTTCAGTGTTGCTGCTCAGCCATTATATGGCACCATGTTGTAAGCTTCATCACTAAAATCCTCAAAAAACCAAAATAATAAAAAAATGTTGATTGTTGGATTGATATTTTCAGATTGGGTTTTGGTTAATAAAGTAGAAAGTGAGTATAATGTACAGATGAAATCTAAATAAACAAAAGCTTTTATTGACATAAAGAACAATACAATATTTTGGCACTACATCCATAAATCCAATACTAAAAGTTACAGATCAGATTTTTGAAACACTGACTTTGTTGTCTAAAAATGAACAATTAAAATTATAACCATCCAAAAGTAAAGTATGAAAATCCATAAAGTCACTTTAGTATGGGACATACTGGAAGATATCTGATGTATTTCATACTTCTGCTGAGTTCTCTTTCTTTGTATTGCATAATGATGTGGAATTAAAACGTTTTGACAGAACTTCTTTGTATTCTTCCCTTGTCAGAAGCCCCTGAGTTACTTTTTTGCTTTCTTCAAATTTTGGTAACACAACTGCAATGTAACCCTCTGTGAAAGGCTAGGAAAACAAACACAAACAAAAACATTTGTGAGAAAATTAAAGGAGGAGGCAGAAAGAAAAGAGAACAAATAATAAGTTTGACATACTGACCTTTTCTTGTAGAAGAGATGGATTTTCCAGAATATTTTCATTCACCTCTATTAATTTTCCTCTTATACAGCTGCAAGGAATTTTCAATTTATTAAGTGCTAGAACAACATAAGCAACACAATATAAATAAAATCTTACCACCTTACCTATAGATGGTGTACTCTTCCCCGTCTGAGCAGAGAATTCGACATAGAGGTGCAAGCTCTGTTAGAAACTGAGCACCCTGGAGGGAAAAGCACACAACCAACTAAGATTCTTGGAAAATGATACACGATCAGAGGCTCAATATTGTGCAACATCAACTGATACAATTTCACATTTGAAATTGAATGTTTACCATAGTTTTCAACATGGTTCCTCCTTTAATTTGGCAGAACTGATCATGTACTGGCTTTTACATAGAGGAAATCCCATATTTAAACTCCAGTCTTTTATGAAATGCACAAGGCTTGTAACATGTGTTATTAATGTTTCCACATTTATGAAGATACCCAACTTCTTAATAATTCTGAGTAGAACACAAATTTAAAGACAAAGAAGTAGAATAGCATTAGGGAATAAAAAGATGGTCATACTGGTGGAATGGACAAATCCTGTTACACATTCCACCCTGGCCCAAATCTTAGGGAAACAGCAAGATCTTCAAGGCTTGTTGAAAGAAGAACAGAGCTGGGACGTTTAAATTTCGGGGTGGGGAGGAGCTCTTGTATTATAGACTGCAAACTCCAAAAATAATTTTAGAAGCTCTTGCAAAAACTACTGAAGGGTATTGAGAGTTTACATTTTCATGTACTATAAATGAAATTGCTGAAATCTCACACGATCCCAGGTGCTTATTAATCTTTGCCAAGAAAGACTGTACATAACATTCTCTTCCTGAATGTATCTGGAATCATAATCAACTACTGCCTTAGGCATCATATTGTTTCTCAGCAAAACCTGCTTCACAAGATAATACATATTACAATCTGTCCTGATATTTCTGATCCGGCCTTCCAGCTACCTCAAACAACTAAAAGACCAGTATTAGACATGTGACCACTTAATTCCACTGATTTCAATAACTTTATGTGAGAAGATACCAGTGAGAATATGCTGTCAGTGAATATGCTTTTGACTGAGTGCTAACTATAGTAGGTTTAGTGTGAAGAACAGCACCCAATGAATACCGGGAAAGCAAAAATCCAGACCACCATTACATGGTATCTTTATGTATTTCTTTGCTGTCTAGTGGTTGTATCAATTTCTACAGCCCAAATTTATACTTACTTCCAAGCAGTCAACTTACAAGAGTGTAAGGCTGGACATGCCAAAAAATGGCTATCCTCTTACTGATCTGCTTTTCCTTTGAGACTGTTCCCTCTTACTTTAAAATTGGTCTGCTGATAAAGTGTTTTGCCAACAAGGGACATGCTGATAGAGTTAAGGAAAAATTAGAGTCTTGGGATGTATAACCAATCTTGATACTACAATTCTTTCACTTTGAAGCTAGCCTAATAGATTTTTTTAAAAAACAAAATTTAGACTCACTTAAAAATGAAACTCGGATTTGTGGTCATGATGAAAATTAAAAGAGCCATACCCGTTTAGACTTTCCAGAAACTTTATTTTTCAGTCTGCTGCAGTTTGCACTAATCTGATAACTAATACTCTTAATTGGTTTTCCTTTTTGAAGAAGAGGATGGGCATCTGCTATAGTGATGACACAGATTCTACAAAAAAAAAGTTCTGTTTATTGAAAGCATGTTTATATATTTTTCAAAACAAGACTTCCCAGAAGCACCTGCAATGTTTAAAATTATAATTTTAAAATTAATTTTAAAATGTGAGAATAGATCCATTATAACAATAAGACAAAAAATGCAAAGCATAAAATTGCACAGAGGACAGGGAGAGAATGGAAAAAGACATGTGAGTGTAATTATTATTCTAGAAAAGCTTTCTATTATAATTTAAGAATGCTAGAGGTTTGCTTCAATGAAAAGAAAAAAAACATTGTTGAAGATGACATTGCTATAATATTTACATTAAATATGCTGTCATTTAGATCGGCATTTGATTTATGCTTGCAGTTCTCAATCCAAAAAGGCTGCTTAAGTGTGGAAATCAACTGCAAAAGGTATATTTTTAATTGCATTGGTGTATAGAAGGAAACAGAAAAAGATTGACTAAACAAGGACAAAATACCAGTACCTTTACTTAGCATGTCTGCACATAATAAATCACAACATAACTACTTAGTGGCAGGCAAGAACAGAGGCAACAGCACAGGATAGGGATCAGAAATGGGGGGAGTAAATTCTGCCAGATCAAAACAAGATTAGCATTCTAGAGTGGTAAAAAGCTCAGACTTTAATCACTTCCTTTTGAAAGTGGTCCCTTTAAAATTAGGTTTGATGCCTGGCTTGTAAAACATGCATTATCTTGAATGACAATTGACCACAGAAGAATTTTTGTGTAAATAAGCATGTAACTTGAAGTCTTACCTATTAGAATGTTGCAATATGCAATGATCTTCACACTGATTACCTTTTACATCTGGGAAAAGAAGGTTAGCAATTACTTAATTTCTGTGCAGGGTTCAGGCTGACTGAAAGTACACAAAATGCTCCAAAAAGTATTGCAGCCTTTTAATAGCTAACAATCTTAATTTTAGCATAGTTTTGTGTAAACCAGAGCCCATCTCTTTAAATAACCAAAATGCTTAATCAGCTGGCAAATAAATGCATGTAGAGCAGGCATGTCAAACTGCCAGCCCATGGGCCAGATGTGTCACGCCGAAACCGCGCCTACCCCATTGCTGGCAATGGGAAAGTCGCAATACGTCGCATGACATCACGTGATGTCACAAGTTTGAGATGCCTGATGTAGAGGGAAGAGAGGAAAAGTTACTTATAAAGAGCAGAGCAAAATAAAATGCAAGAACTAGATAAAGCTAACATTAATATAAAATAAGGTACATATAGTAATTGTTTAATGACTAATTGGAACCAGCAACTCAGTCATTAAGCAAAGCAGTCAACAAGTGAAACCAAGACTGCTTGTGAGCTTATTTCAGCTTTCTGTTGCTTTACAGAACTGTGAAGGTCGTAAAAGTGAAGATAGATCACAAGTTACTTTTTCATCACTGTCATAACTGCAAACAGTCGCTAAGCAAGGACTACCTGTGTTGCCTTAGGCAACTCAGGCATTTGAATTTGGGAAAGAAGAACACTTTTATGTTTGCAAAAGTGGCCTTTTCACTTATCCCAAAATACAAATCACCAAATAATCCAGGCAAAGCCAAAATCATTTATTTAAGGGGGAATGGAGTCAAGACTTTTTATAGGACATAGGAAACAATTGTTACATTCATTATACGTCAGATAACAAATGATCAATAAAAGACATTGATTACATTTGAGAATTGAACCACAAAAAACAGCTATTCTAGAATCTAGATAACATTCTATCAGTGGCAAATTTATGGGTTACATCACCCTCTTTCCCAATCAAATCTGTATCTTTATTAACACATGCAAATATATTCAAAGACATCCAGAATACTAAACTATGGTTTAGTTATTGAAAAATTGTCAAAAATGGCATTGGTTAAAAAGTAAACATGGTTTCCTGCATTTCAAAAGGAGATATGAATGCCAGCTGAATGTTAGTATCACCTTTATTAAAAGTAATAATGAAGCCTAAAACTCCTGTACACCAATAAGTCACACATTACTAGAGATAAATAATGAAGCTTTAATAGGTAGAGCGTCATGCCTATGCCTAAGTTACCATCCTTGTGCTAAATTCTTCTGTACTTATTACTATTTGTAAGAGGGCCTTTTCAGGCCTGATCACCGGCGTAAATCTTTCCTAAGAACCTATCATGCACGTTGTCGGAGTAAAAGAAGCGTACCGAGTCATAACAGACTACGCTGCCGGCCAATATATAAGCACAAGAGCTGCAGGGGGGTGTCCTTAAAGCAGTGTTTCTCAACCTTGACCATTTTAAGACATGTGGACTTCAACTCCCAGAATTCCACAGCTAGCATTGCTGGCTGTGGAATTCTGGGAGTTGAAGTCCACATGCCTTAAAATAGTCAAGGTTGAGAAACACTGCCTTAAAGGCTCCAGCAATCCCATCTGCCGACATTCAGGATCCTCTATGCCAGAGTTTCTCAACTTCGGCAACTTTAAGGCGTGTGACTTCAGCTCCCAAAATTCCCCAGCCAGCTCTGCTCTATCCCCATCCCTCAACAAAAACAGCCCACGCGAGGGGAAAGGTGGAAGGCAGTCAAGGAAGACTGGGACCGAAGCGGAAATCCTGGTGCTGCAAAAAAAAGGGGGGGCATTTTCCAAGCTCGCTTCCGATAAGAGGGAGACGGGCGAGGGTCGGCGATGAACTACCTGGTTTGTACCAGCGGGTGAAATACCGTTCCGTCACACCAGACAGCGTTGCCATGGAACCCCGGACCTCCGAAGCGCCCGACGCCATGATTCCAGCCGTGGGCGTGGCGAAAGAGCCGCGCTTGCGCTTCAGCTTCCTCGACGCTGCAATCAGTTGGGCTTCGGGGGGAGCGGCCTAAAGCTGGGGGCAAACCGAATGTTCGCCGCAGAGATGTACGATCTATAGAGGTGAACGCTCATTTTGTGGCAGGGATTTCCGAGCTCAACTGTTGAAGCTAGTTTAAATGTTCTTTGAGGCCACAGTAGGGTTTGTCCATAGAAGTCAAGGAAGAAACTTGCCCCAGTAAATAACTACAATGCTATCGAGAGTCTGGTTCAGAAGGAAACCGGTCGAAGTCTTCTGGAAAACGAAAGGACTTTTACGAATTCCAGAGGGTTTTAGCAGAGAGATTTATTGCGCAGGGTTCAGAAGCAATGGAGACAAGCAATTCTGAACCCTGAGGGCGGGATCAGACTTCAGTTTTATACTATTCTTCTTTCAGGAACAAAGAACTGCACATTGAGATACACATTGTAATACATTAGGTTCGTTTCTCACGGGTATACAATGGAAGGTTTGCTACATACATTGTATCCATGTGCGATGCGCATTAGGTTAGTCACATATTACAGACACAGAATTTTCCTAGTGATTAGGCATTATTCCTGACACATCATTATTCTAGTAATTTTGCAGACAAATCATTATTTTAGTAATTGTTCCTTATTCCACCTTAGAAGGTTTCCAAAAGACCGAAATGCGTGCTTTTCTTTCGCGTGTCTTATTTCTTAAGATTTTGAAAAACGAGGACGGAGTAAGATGCATTAATGAGCGAGCGAGACGGTGGCTGGCGGCAGCCCTGCAAATTAAGCCCAGCATTATTATTATTTTTTAGTACTGCAAGCCTTTTAGAGTTGTTTTCATGCGAATTTCATCCAATTTATGGAAGACTAAAACGGTCGATTCTCTAAAGTCGCTCGTTTTCCAAAGCAGAGCAAATAGCACGAGTGAAGCGCTGGCCCAGGGGTAGGCAACCTTGGCTGTTTTATGACTCGTGGACTTCAACTCCCAGAATTCCTGAGCCAGCATGGCTGGCTCAGGAATTCTGGGAGTTGAAGTCCACGAGTCATAAAACAGCCAAGGTTGCCTACCCCTGCCTGGCCCATTGTTACGTTTGACGTTTGACTCCTTAAACAGCAACAGTAGAACAAGCCCTGGAAACAAATGGCAGTTTTTACTGGCCGGTCCAATTAATCACGAGCACGCTAAAATTACAAACGTCTCATTTATTTCCTTTAGACATTCTGGGGACTGGAAAGAGTTTCCAATCCAAAAATAAAGTCTGTGACCATCTACAAATTTCATGGCTCTATGAGTATAGACTTCGTTCCCCAGCTGAGCTGTAGACCTTCCCGTGCTTACTCCGTTTAGTTTAGCAGCTTGTCTAACTAACACACTTTATTGTTTCTGCGAGGCTTCCGGCTGTTTTGAAAAATAATCATAGATAATAGTGATTAAGATTAGAATTTAAATAATAGTATGTTAGTTTAATGTTATAGATCGACAAAGATTAGTTTTGTTGCATTTATGTGTTTGCACCTTACTGGAGAAATTCATTCATTTGCCACCAGTTGTGTCTGTCACTTGGCTACTTTATAGACAAGTGCTCTCCATGCTAGCCTGTGTCAAGCACAGCTCCTTTCAGTTGCTGGATGTTCATCTTTGTATCCGCTTTGATGGTATCAAGCCAGAGTGTTCTTTGCTTGGCCTTCTTCTTGAACCAGTAACCATTCCTAGCAACATTGACTTCTCCAGTGAATTTTGCTGGTGTGACGTGGCCAAAGTAAACAGAGGTAGTCTTGTGATTTTGGCTTCTAGTGATATTTCATCATCTCTCTGTTGGTTGTTCTGGCCATCCATGGTATATGCAATAATTTATGCCAGCACAATTCAAAGGTGTCAATTCTTCTTCGATCAGCCGTTATTAGTGTCCAACTCTTACACCTATACATTATAGGGAAGACTATTGCTCTAACTAGCTTGCTTTTTGTATTTATATCAATATATGTGCTTTTCCAGATTTTATTCATGTTAACCTTTGCAGTGCAGCCTAAGGCTATCCTGCATTGATTTCAGGAATACAACTGCCATCATGAACAATTTTTGATACAAGGAAGATAAATTCTCAAACTAATTCAGTTTTCTCCTTGCTAATTTTTAACATCTCATGTACATCTGTTTGTCATTATCTTTGTTTTCCTGAAGATTCTATTTTTTTACTTTCAGCCTTGATTTTTCAGATCATTTTTTTTCCAGGTCTTCCTTATTTCCAACCAATACAGTGTTGTATCATCTGTGTACCTCAAATTATTTGTGGTTCTTCCTCCAATTTTCACTCCCAACTCAGGCAGTTCCAGGTCTAATTTCCACATGAACATTTCAGCATACAGATTGAACAAAAGTGATACAATATATCCCTAACTCCCTTTTTGATCCTGAACCAATATGTGTCCCCATAGAATGTTATGGTGTTCACACTTGCACCTTGGTCTCTGGCCATAGACCCCAGTAAATAGTAGTTGACAAAGAAGCACTATGAGGTTACTAGGAGTTTAAACATGCATCATGGGAGATTATATTTTTCCCAGGGATTTGCAGCAAATCAAATCAACAGTTTTTTGTCTTCTGCAATCAACGCTGTTTATGGACTGTTTACCAACGTGGCTTTCAAATGGATATTTTGAAAGGTCTGTCTCCATTTCTCCTGGGATTTGGTCAGCTAACAATCTTTTCCCCTTCCTGATTAAATAACAAAATATGGAATTATAAGAGCTGTTTTTGCCATTTTTCTTATAAATTGCTTTTCTGGAATGCTATAAATAGTTCCTGTAGTCTTTCTGCAACAATTCTAAAACCATCCATCTCATATTTTAAAGCATTTTTAGCTACAATATGCAAATGGACTCACACTGATACAGCACAACAGAAATCTATCTCATTTCTTTGTAGCTAAAAATCAAAAGTGCTCTAACAATAAGAAGTAAAAAACAAAACCTACATAGTTGGAATGTGAATTCTGTATCAATTATACAAATGGCCTGAAGAATGCATGCTTTGCCATCATGTGTTGACTATTTTAGAAGTTTGATCTGCATATGATTTGTTTAATTTCATATTTTCTTAATGTTAAGAAAATATATAACTGATACAACTTACATTGGAAAGACATATAAACTGATTTTTATTATATACAAATTTTAACTGTGTTTTTCCTCTTTTATATATATATATTAAAATATGAATAATTACAAAAAATGTTACTTTCAAGTTTGGAGTAAGACATTCTCAGGATTCAGTTCTGAATAATCATGGTCATTTAGGAACAGCCTGCTTAAAACATGGTATGTGTGTGAGGTAATGGTTAGCAATGTTAAACAAAGAGTGATTCTGGCTAGTTAACTTTCTGCCTATATAATTATTGTGACAATAACAAAATAGAGAAAGCATTCAGAGTATCGCTCCTAAAGTTCTTTACAACTCCTTTAACTCCAGTGGTCATAGGAGCTATCTGTACATTTTTCTGTGTATATAAGTAGCATGTTGCATCTGCATATGTGCATTTTCTCCTTAAAAGACTGATCAAATTGTTCATGTTACCACATGAGGCTGAATTAACAACTGTCTTTTATCAGCCACTTTAACTCTCCGGCAGTTTTCTGTGACATATTTTCTTCAACTTCTTCATAATAGCAGTTTTTTAAGAATGCAGATTCTTTGAAAGTGAAGAATGTTCTGTCACTTCTATTCTGAGCATATATGGTGTGAAAAAGTTGTTCTGATTCAAATATGCATCATCTATCAAATGGCTGCTAAAGATTCACATGTACCCAGAGACTTAAGACAGAACCTCAATATTATAACTATACAAATACTCATAGCAGAAATCCTCCATTATATGTCCTATTCCAGATGTTCATCTACTTAACCCATTAATGAAGTCTGGAATAGACTTCTACCTCATTGCACTGAATGAAACATAGGCGGCCATTGTTCAGAGATAATTGTATAGGCATTCTTTCTGCATGCCAGCAAATTTTAACTTTTCCCACTTGACTGTGCCTTACCTTTTCCCATCTCCCAGTAGGAAGTGAGAAGCAATCAGCACGCAGGGCACACACCGCCGCACAACACACAGTTGGGATTCAGGAAGCGTTTGCAGCTCTCTAAAACCTCCACTTACCCATCAACCGCTTTGCAGTGTAGGTAGGTATGCAACGACAGCTATAGGCAATTGGGGGCAACTCGATAAATACATAAAAACACTTTGGACATTTAGTCAGACCAAGGATCGTGTAACTTTAATTGCAAATAAAACAATAGATTTCTTCTTTGGAATACATGTTTGAAGTAACATAACTGTTCTCCACCATCACTACCAAAAACAAAAAAGGTGATAATTTTAGATTTTTCTACATCTTAAAAGCAACAATAGTTGACATGTTTGTACCACTTTAACATTTATAAGACAAACTTTAGCAAAGCATGCTATAATCAGATTTGCAATATTAATTTTCTTTTTTTAAAAGAAAGTCCAAGTTACAAACTATTTATAGTTTTATTTTTCATTATGTTTGGTAATAAGCCAATTTTCTCTCTATGCCACTGGTAATCCCCTGCAATTTATGAAAGATTATATTATTAAAATATGACTAATGGGAGGGAAAGTGCCTACAATTAAACTATACAGACAATATCAATAGTATGAAAAGTAAACAAAACATGCATCTGAAGCAGGGTACTACTTCAATAAACAAAGAAACTTCAGTTCATGGAAGCAACTGTAATCCTTCAGTGGTTCACCCCTGGATGAAGAAGGGGGTGGGGGTGATTTGACAATTTTCTTCCATCATCCCGTACCTTTACATCTTTCATCCTCCCTTGAAGATCACCTAGCCACCATAGCAAATTTTCAGGAGGAACAAGAAACTGACAAAAATTCTTCCACCTCAAGTGCAGCTCTGAGTATGAATACAATCCTATAAATTAATGCTGAACACAATTTT